CCATCACCAGCTCTCACCCTCGGCCGATATAAACCAGCATGACTATCACCAGCTCTCACCCACGGCCGATATAAACCAGCATGGCTATCACCAGCTCTCACCCACGGCCGATATAAACCAACATGGCCATCAACAGCTCTCACCAGCTCTCACCCACGGCGGATATAAACCAGCATGGGCATCAACAGCTCTCACCCACGGCCGATATAACCCAGCATGGCTATCACCAGCTCTCACTCTCCGCTGATATAAACCAGCATGGGCATCAACAGCTCTCACCCACGGCCGATATCAACCAGCATGGCTATCACCAGCTCTCACTCTCCGCTGATATAAACCAGCATGGGCATCACATCACCGGCTCTCACCCTCGGCCGATATAAACCAACCTGGCCATCACCAGCTCTCACCCAAGACCAATATAAACCAGGATGGCCATCACCAGCTCTCACCCAAGACCAATATAAACCAGTATGGCCATCACCAGCTCTCACCCACGACCAATATAAACCAGCATGGCCATCACCATCTGTCACCCAAAGCCCATATAAACCAACATGGGCATCACCAGCTCTCACCCACGACCGATATAAACCAGTATGGCCATCACCAGCTCTCACCCAAAGCCCATATAAACCAGCAGGGGCATCACCAGCTCTCACCCACGACCGATATAAACCAGCATGGCCATCCCCAGCCCTCACCCCCAGCCGATATAAACCAGCATGGCCATGACCAGCTCGCACCTACGGCCGATATAAACCAGCATGGGCATCAGCAGCTCTCACCACGGCCGATATAAACCAGCATGTGCATGACCAGCTCTCACCCACGGCCGATCTAACCCAGCATGGGCATCACCAGCTCTCACCCCCGACCAATATAAACCAGTATGGCCCTCGCCAGCTCTCACCTTCAGCCGATATAAACCAGCGTGGGCATCCCCATACCCTCGGCCGATATAAACCAACCTGGCCATCACCAGCTCTCACCCAAAGCCCATATAACCCAACATGGGCATCACCAGCTCTCACCCACGGCCCATATAAACCAGCATGGGCATCCCCAGCTCTCACCCACGGCCGATAAAAACCAGCAGGGCTATCACCAGCTCTCACCCTCGGCCGATATAAACCAGTGTGGGCATCACCATACCCTCGGCCGATATAAACCAACATGGCCATCACCAGCTCTCACCAGCTCTCACCCACGGCCGCTATAAACCAGCATGGGCATCACCAGCTCTCCCCCACGGCCAATATAAACCAGCATGGCTATCACCAGCTCTCACTCTCGTCGGATATAAACCAGCATGGGCATCAGCAGCTCTCCCCCACGGCCGATATAAACCAGCATGGCTATCACCAGCTCTCACTCTCGGCTGATATAAACCAGCATGGGCATCAGCAGCTCTCACCCACGGCCGATATAAACCAGCATGGGCATCACCAGCTCTCACCCACGACCAATATAAACCAGCATGGCCATCACCAGCTCTCACCCCCGGCCGATATAAACCAGAATGGCCATCACCAGCTCGCACCCACGTCCAATATAAACCAGTATGGCTATCGCCAGCTCTCACCCACGGCCGATAAAAACCAGCATGGGCATCACCAGCTCTCACCCACGACCAATATAAACCAGAATGGCCATCACCAGCTCTCACCCACGGCCGATATAAACCAGCATGGGCATCACCAGCTCTCACCCTCGGCCGATATAAACCAGCATGGCCATCACCAGCTCTCACCCTCGGCCGATATAAACCAGCATGGGCATCACCAGCTCTCACCCTCGGCCGATATAAACCAGAATGGCCATCACCAGCTCTCACCCACGTCCAATATAAACCAGTATGGCTATCACCAGCTCTCACCCACGGCCGATAAAAACCAGCATGGGCATCACCAGCTCTCACCCACGGCCGATATAAACCAGCATGGCCATCACCGGCTCTCACCCACGGCTGATATAAACCAGCATGGCCATCACCAGCTCTCACCCCCGGCTGATATAACCCAGCATGGGCATCACCAGCTCTCACCCACGACCGATATAAACCAGCATGGCCATCACCAGCTCTTACCCTCGGCCGATATAAACCAGCGTGGCCATCACCAGCTCTCACCCTCGGCTGATATAAACCAGCATGGGCATCACCAGCTCTCACCCTCGGCCGATATAAACCAGCGTGGCCATCATGGCCATCACCAGCTCTCACCCTCGGCCGATATAAACCAGCATGGCCATCACCAGCTCTCACCCCCGGCCAATATAAACCAGTATGGCCATCACCAGCTCTCACCCACGACCAATATAAACCAGTATGGCCCTCACCAGCTCTCACCTTCAGCCGATATAAACCAGCGTGGGCATCACCATACCCTCGGCCGATATAAAGAGTCACAGATAACTGAGTTCTATGAGTCTACACTTAAATAAGTTGATTATTGTAGTCATACCACCCCACTTTGACCCATTGTGATGTATATAAATACCTTTATTAGTGCACCCCACCATGCCTCACCTTAGTGCTTGTCCCAGACCTTCCCACTTCTATTTATATGCCCATATATTTCACCTGCCTAAAACTATACTGTTCCTGTTCCGTAAGATTTTGTGTCTAGAGTCGATCATTAGCACTGTTCATTTGTCCAATGAGATTGAGGGTTGTGATGGTTTGACGTAGTTGATAGATATTGGAGGGGGAAGCTCTGAGCTTTCGCTGGCCATTAATGCTGCTGTAAATGAAAATATGCCAATTGTTTGGAAAGAAGATTAATCTGTTTTACACGTTTACTGTGCATGGTGCAGAGTCTTTGGAACTGTTAAGTAGTTGAGTGTTGTCAGTTGGACCTGATTACAGCTAAGTCAAGTCCGATTCCACAAGAAACAAAGGCGTATAACCTTGACTTGTTGTAGAAGACAATCCAAGTTGCAGGACAGCTACTCTGTAGTCTCTCTGGCCTTCCCATTACGTTTCTACCTCAGAAAATGCAATAGGGTGTTATAATGATTTTTGTTATTTTTATGCTTGGAAAACTGTTTAGAAGGATCACAAAACACAATGTTATGTACATTGTATATCTAAGTGTGAAAATGTCTCTCTGGCCTTGGGATTGAATAGCAAGCCCCAGAAAAGGTATGAGGGATCTTATAATGATTTCCTTTTTCTTTATGATTGGAAAATGTTTTGGAAGACCACAAACAATTTTTTTCCATATTTTGTAGTGTGAAAATAGCCATATATACACAGCACACTGTCCATTTTCCTGGATTTGTAGTTATCTGTTAAAGATAAGCAAGCCAATAACACAAGATTGGCGCTTCAAAATAAAATAATAACTAAGGATTAACTTGAATATATTTTTCATGTTATGGAGCTATAACACAAAAAATCGGAGTGTACTGTCATCATAAACCGCTTCGCGGTTTATTTAGAGTACACTTCGTTTTTTGTGTTATACAAATTGTAGCTCCATAACATGAAAAATATATTCAAGTTAATCCTTATAAGTTAATCTACTATACACAATCCCTGTGGAAATCCATTTTTATTGATGGACTCTTTTCTCTTAGAAATTATTGTGCTGCTGTATGAGCCAATCAAACACGACGCTACAAACGGGGACATAATTTTTTTACATTATGGGCTGATAACATAAATTTTTAAGCCAATGAAAATGCTTGTTACAAGCAAGATTAAATTATATAGAAATATACAGCATTTGATATAGCGCCCTATCTACCTAACATAAGCCACCCTAAAGCGCTTTACAGTACATAGATGTACAATTAATACAATTAGCATATATACATTAATCAATACATTTTATGAGGAATTGGCAGGAGCTGCCTAAACAGGCACTAACTACTAGTCCTATGCCACCTGGCTAATATCTCCCTATGTGTGTATGCCTGTGTGTGTGCTGGAGATGTAATGTGTTCTGTTTGTAGTGGGACTGTGCTTCCAACGGCATCATTTATAGTGCCTCCTCACTTGAATGCTACAACACAGATACCGCAACATCCACCCCAGACCATTTTATACTTCATCTGGGTTGTTGGAATTGTGTGGGCAGGAGAAAAACACTTTCTCTGACTATCCATGCGTACAATGACCTCCACCCAAAATATGTCCAGAGGCGCTTCAAACCTGGCAAGAAAGATAGAGTCAGTGACTGACCAAGTTTGACATACAATGCAGGCATAAAAAAGTGACTTGTCTACAGATTCTCAACTAAAGGAAAACCTCCCTTTGATAGCAAAGTTCTGTGATTTTGAAGTCAATTATTTGATTTTGAAGATAATGGTATGAATTTTTGGTATGAAGAGTCTGTGGATGGAAAAGTCTTACACTGACTTGAACTAAAATGTGGCTTGATATAGACATAATTTGGAGATTGTATCGGGTAAAATAAGGTAAAATGAGTGTTATCAGGTAATATCTGCTGCCTGGTCAGATAAGAACACCTTCCCCATCAAAGAGTGGACATGGTGTCATCCTTGCTGCCAGTATACAATGTAATGTAACTTTTATTTCTGACGCATTCAACAGCTTTGTCAACAGAGGGTATAAACACACAGATTGTATAAAACATATGTGTTAGGAAAGCTGTCCAAATAGTGTCTTGTTGATTATATCTTTTTGACTTGTGTAAGAGTTCAGGTTAGAATAAGATACAGGTCACTTTAGGGAGATACTGTGGTCACTTAAATGAAATACTGGTAACTTTAATGAGATACAGGTCACTTTAATGAGATAAAAGGCACTTTAATGATATACTGGTCACTTAAATGAAATACTGGTAACTTTAATGAGATTCAGGTCACTTTAATGAGATAAAAGTCACTTTAATGATATACGGGTCCCTTTAATGAGATAAAAGGCACTTTAATGATATACTGGTCACTTTAATGAAATACTAGTAACAAAAAGGAATGTTATAATGGTTGTATGTATCGAAACAATAGCACATATCCTTTTATAATTCCAGATTTTCTTGTGGTGTCAGCATCAATTGTCGTACTGTCAGCAGGCTCAGAAGGCCAAGTGTTTGCCACTTCAGCTATCAGGTATGCACAGTCAGGGCCACCTCATCTATTAGTAATACACAGTCAGGTCCACCTCAGCTATCAGGTATATAGGCAGGGCCATTTCAGCTACCTTATATATACCCTCAGGGCCACCTCAGCTATCAGGTTTACACAGTCAGTGCCACCTCAGCTATCAGGTATACACAGTAAGAGCCACCTCAGCTATCAGGTATATAGTCAGGGCCATTTCAGCTACCTTATATATACAGGCAGGGCCACCTCAGCTATTAGGTATACACAGTCAGGGCCACATCAGCTATCATGTATACACAGTCAGGGCCACATCAGCTATCATGTATACACAGAAAGAGCCACCTCAGCTATCAGGTATATAGGCAGGGCCATTTCAGCTACCTTATATATACAGTCAGGGCCACCTCATCTATTAGTAATACACAGTCAGGTCCACCTCAGCTATCAGGTATATAGTCAGGGCCATTTCAGCTACCTTATATATACAGTCAGGGCCACCTCATCTATTAGTAATACACAGTCAGGTCCACCTCAGCTATCAGGTATGCACAGTCAGGGCCACCTCATCTATTAGTAATACACAGTCAGGTCCACCTCAGCTATCAGGTATATAGTCAGGGCCATTTCAGCTACCTTATATATACAGTCAGGGCCACCTCATCTATTAGTAATACACAGTCAGGTCCACCTCAGCTATCAGGTATATAGTCAGGGCCATTTCAGCTACCTTATATATACAGTCAGGGCCACCTCATCTATTAGTAATACACAGTCAGGTCCACCTCAGCTATCAGGTATATAGGCAGGGCCATTTCAGCTACCTTATATATACAGTCAGGGCCACCTCAGCTATCAGGTTTACACAGTCAGTGCCACATCAACTATCAGGTTTAGACAGTCAGTGCCACCTCAGCTATCAGGTATATAGTCAGGGCCATTTCAGCTACCTTATATATTGAGATACTGGTCACTTTAATGAGATACTTGTCACTTCAATGAGATACTGGTCACTTTAATGAGATACTAGTCCCTTTGATGAGATAATGTGGTCACTTTAATGAGAGACAGGTTACTTTAATGAGATACAAGTCACTCTAATGAGATACACGTCACTTTAATGAGATAAAGTCACTTTAATGAGAAACTGGTCACTTTATTGAGATACAGGTCACTTTAATGAGATACAAGTCACTTTAATGAGATGCAGGTCACTCTAATGAGATAAAAGTCACTTTAATGAGATACTGGTCACTTTAATGAGATACTTGTCACTTTAATGAGATACTGGTCACTATGATGAAATACTAGTCCCTTTGATGAGATGATGTGGTCACTTTAATGAGATACAGGTCTCTTTAATGAGATACAGGTCACTTTAATGAGATAAAAGTCACTTTAATGAGATACTGGTCACTTTAATGAGATACTGGTCACTTTAATGAGATACTTGTCACTTTAATGAGATACTGGTCACTTTGATGAAATACTAGTCTTTTTAATGAGATACAGGTCACTTTAATGAGATACAAGTCATTTTAATGAGATACAGGTCATTTTAATGAGATACAGGTCACTTTAATGAGATACAGGTCATTTTAATGAGATACAGGTCACTTTAATGAGATATAGATCATTTTAATGAGATACAGGTCACTTTAATGAGATACATGTCACTCTAATGAGATACAGGTCACTTTAATGAGAAAGAGGTCACTTTAATGAGATACAGGTTATTTTAATGCGATACAGGTCACTTTAATGAGATATTGGTCACTTTAATGAGATACAGGTCACTCTAATGAGATACTCGTAACTTTAATGAGATACAGGTTAATTTAATGAGATACAGGTCACTTAAATGAGATACTGGTCACTTTAATGAGATACAGGTTATTTTAATGAGATACAGGTCACTTTAATGAGATATTGGTCATTTTAATAAGATACAGGTCACTTTAATGAGATACAGGTCACTCTAATGAGATACTGGTCACTTTAATGAAATACTAGTAACAAAAAGGAATGTTATAATGGTTGTATGTATCGAAACAATAGCACATATCCTTTTATAATTCCAGATTTTCTTGTGGTGTCAGCATCAATTGTCGTACTGTCAGCAGGCTCAGAAGGCCAAGTGTTTGCCACTTCAGCTATCAGGTATGCATGCACAGTCAGGGCCTCTTCAATTATCAGGTATACATAGTCAAAGCCACTTCAGTTATCAGGTATACATAGTCAGGGCCATTTCAGCTACCTTATATATACAGTCAGGGCCACCTCAGCTATCAGGTTTACACAGTCAGGGCCACCTCAGCTATTAGGTATACACAGTCAGGGCCACCTCAGCTATCAGGTATACACAGTAAGAGCCACCTCAGCTATCAGGTTTACACAGTCAGTGCCACGTCAACTATCAGGTAAACACAGTAAGAGCCACCTCAGGTATCAGGTATATAGTCAGGGCCATTTCAGCTACCTTATATATACAGTCAGGGCCACCTCAGCTATCAGGTATACGCAGTAAGAGCCACCTCAGCTATCAGGCATGCACAGTCAGGGCCACCTCAGCTATCAGGTTTACACAGTCAGGGCACCTCAGCTATCAGGTTTACACAGTCAGGGCCACATCAGCTATCAGGTATACACAGTAAGAGCCACCTCAGCTATCAGGTTTACACAGTCAGTGCCACCTCAACTATCAGGTTTACACAGTCAGTGCCACCTCAGCTATCAGGTATACACAGTCAGGGCCACCTCAGCTATCCGATATACATAGTCAGGGCCACCTCCGCTATCATGTATACACAGTCAGGGCCACCTCATCTATTAGGTATACACAGTCAGGGCCACCTCAGCTATCAGGTATACACAGTCACGGTCACCTCAGCTATCAGGTATGCACAGTTAGGGTCAGTAATTTTGAATATTCACTAGTATGTCACTCTTAAATAGATAATATCATTCTGTTTTCTAGGGGTGTGAGATTTTTACAGATTTTACGAATGCTCCATGTAGACAGACAAGGAGGAACATGGCGTCTCTTAGGATCTGTAGTTTATATACATAGGCAGGTGAGTGTATACAAGTGTGTATCTGTATAGACAGGTAAGTGTATACAAGTGTGTATTTGTATAGACAGGTAAGTGGGGGGAGCTACAGTGGCCGATTGGTTAAGGCGTCTTGACATTCTGCTTCTACTAGACCTCCACCACTGGGTCACAGGTTCGAGGCCTGCGTTGGGCAGCGCTACTGGTCGTGGGTTCGAGGCCTGCGTTGGGTCAGTGATTATGCTCTGGGTAATTTTTACCTCCACCACTGGGTCGTGGGTTTGAGGTCTGCGTTGGGTCAGTGATTATACTCTGGGTAATTTTTACCTCCACCACTGGGTCGTGGGTTTGAGGCCTGCGTTGGGTCAGTGATTATACTCTGGGTAATGTTTTCCTCCACCACTGGGTCGTGGGTTCCAGGCCTGCGTTGGGCAGCGCTACTGGTCACAGGTTCGAGGCCTGCGTTGGGTCAGTGATTATACTCTGGGTAATGTTTTCCTCCACCATCAACACCAGCCTGTCCTCAAATGACCCTAGCTTTGAATAGGACATAAAACACAATACAAACCGATATAGAGATGGATGGAATATCCTCCTTACACTATGTAGGTATGTAAACTACATGCTACTAGAATACAATGGTACAATCACATACTTAAATTGCAGTCTGCTAGAATGTATTGACTTTGCAATATTTTTATGACTTTTCAGCACAGGGATTGGTGAAATGTAAATTAACTCCATCAGTAGATGCTGGTTTATATTAAAATTCATGTTGAGCAGATTGGAAAAAAAAAGCATCCATAAAATTAATTAAATAAATCAATAGTTTTCCCAATTTCCTGATCGTTATTAACTGAGATGTGGTTGTAGGAAATCTTGTAAACTTGGCAATGACACTGTCTACTGTAACTTAAATCTAAGATTGAACTTATGTTGTCTACTGTAACTTAAATCTAAGATTGAACTTATGTTGTCTACTGTAACTTAAATCTAAGATTGAACTTATGTTGTCTACTGTAACTTAAATCTAAGATTGAACTTATGTTGTCTACTGTAACTTAAATCTAAGATTGAACTTATGTTGTCTACTGTAACTTAAATCTAAGATTGAACTTATGTTGTCTACTGTAACTTAAATCTAAGATTGAACTTATGTTGTCTACTGTAACTTAAATCTAAGATTGAACTTATGTTGTCTACTGTAACTTAAATCTAAGATTGAACTTATGTTGTCTACTGTAACTTAAATCTAAGATTGAACTTATGTTGTCTACTGTAACTTAAATCTAAGATTGAACTTATGTTGTCTACTGTAACTTAAATCTAAGATTGAACTTATGTTGTCTACTGTAACTTAAATCTAAGATTGAACTTATGTTGTCTACTGTAACTTAAATCTAAGATTGAACTTATGTTGTCTACTGTAACTTAAATCTAAGATTGAACTTATGTTGTCTACTGTAACTTAAATCTAAGATTGAACTTATGTTGTCTACTGTAACTTAAATCTAAGATTGAACTTATGTTGTCTACTGTAACTTAAATCTAAGATTGAACTTATGTTGTCTACTGTAACTTAAATCTAAGATTGAACTTATGCTGTCTACTGTAACTTAAATCTAAGATTGAACTTATGTTGTCTACTGTAACTTAAATATAAGATTGAACATATGGTGTCTACTGTAACTTAAATCTAAGATTGAACTTATGTATCATTAATTTGAATAATAAATTGAATTTATGTATTAATAATTTGAATAGAAAATTGAATTTATCTATCCATTATTTGAATATATATTTGAATTTATTTCAAGGACAGGGGGATTATTAAGTGAAATAGATTGAGCATGGTTTTACTTCTATGCAGGTGGAACTATGTATGGGTATTAATTGTTTGTAAAATCCTTAATCCTCTTAAACAGGTGACAAATTAAATATGCTTTATATTATTATTCATAATAAAATTCAAAATGGTTCAAGATATTCTGAAGAAATATAGAAGTTTGAATTGCCAGGCAGACATTAGATACAGGGACATTTTGTAGACATGAGTAAAAGTGATAGTGTATTCCTGGAAATAAAACCGCTGTTACCACAGAGGCTGAAAATCCACTAACGTAGATTAACTCTCTAAACTACAATAAAGGAGGATCAGATGGGTGATCCTAACAAGCAAAAACGTCAGAGTGGCACCTCTGTCTGTCACAGCAACAACGCTCTCACCACGACAGACAGAGTGGCACCTCTGTCTGTCACAGCCACAACGCTCTCAACACACACAGCTTACACACATAAAAACGTCAGAGTGGCACCTCTATCTGTCACAGCGACAACGCTCTCACCACACACAGACAGAGTGGCACCTCTGTCTGTCACAGCGACAACGCTCTCACCACGACAGACAGAGTGGCCCCTCTGTCTGTCACAGCGACAACGCTCTCACCACGACAGTCAGAGTGGCACCTCTGTCTGTCACAGCGACAACGCTCTCACCACACACAGCTTACACACATAAAAACGACAGAGTGGCACCTCTGTCTGTCACAGCGACAACGCTCTCACCACACACAGCTTACACACATAAAAACGACAGAGTGGCACCTCTGTCTGTCACAGCGACAACGCTCTCACCACACACAGCTTACACACATAAAAACGACAGAGTGGCACCTCTGTCTGTCACAGCGACAACGCTCTCACCACACACAGCTTACACACATAAAAACGACAGAGTGGCACCTCTGTCTGTCACAGCGACAACGCTCTCACCACACACAGCTTACACACATAAAAACGACAGAGTGGCACCTCTGTCTGTCACAGCGACAACGCTCTCACCACACACAGCTTACACACATAAAAACGACAGAGTGGCACCTCTGTCTGTCACAGCGACAACGCTCTCACCACACACAGCTTACACACATAAAAACGACAGAGTGGCACCTCTGTCTGTCACAGCGACAACGCTCTCACCACACACAGCTTACACACATAAAAACGACAGAGTGGCACCTCTGTCTGTCACAGCGACAACGCTCTCACCACACACAG